TCACCTAGAGGTCTTGCACATAAATCCAGTACAATGTCTATTGATGAGTGATTGATTGCAGTGTTCTGACATTTGGAATATATGCCTAACTCTCTAGGTTCAGGTCACGTAACCTGCAGAGACAGGTCTTAAATCTCTAAGACTACTTCAAGCAGCATCCACCTCTCAAGGTTTATAATGATAATTGTAGTATTCTGATGACTTTATATAAGATTACATCTGCTCTGTGGCTACATGGGGAACTGATCAGAAGTAACAATAAATATCAAATATGAATTATCCTGTCTTCCCTCATATCAAATAACTGTGTCTCCTCAATAATTATTGTCTGCTTATAATATATGCTTAATTTTCTAGGGATGTAGACATTTTTAAATTACCAAGTCACTCCTTACTCCTGTTGGAAATTTATAAAATATTGACAGCATTTTACAGACTGCTACTTTCAGGAAAAGACTAGTCATAAGTTTCTATCAGAGATTAATTTTGGCAACAAAATGACAGAATCGTAACAAGTTTATCATGTTGTCTTCCCACATAAATGTTAAGTTATTACAAGCTCTTCATTATGCAGGCTATTTTTATTGAATTTGATGCATATAGCATGATACCATCAACATATTATTTCACAAGTTAAGACTGTAAAATAAGGAATGCTTGAAAAAAATCAAGCATTTCATTTGGGTAAAAAAGTCACAAGACTTCTAGCAAGGAGTGGGTTATATCAGGGAAGATTCTTTTTAAAATTTTTAATAACATTTTATTTCTCTTCTGTATGTGAACATATACATGAATGTGTGCATATGTTTGGTTATTTGCACTTGCCACAGTACACATGTGGTAATCAAATGACAACTTGCAAAAGTTGGTTCTCTCTTTCCATCATGTGGATCCTGCAGATTAACTCCTGTTGTCAGGTTTGGTGACAAGCACCTGTACCCACTGAGTCACCTGGATGATTTCCTGTTAGAAAAATATCTTAATCTTTATCATTGAATCAGCTTTACAGTGTCAGAAAAGGGAGTGAAGGAGAGAGAACAGGGTGGTGGGAAAGAGCAATTGAAAGGGTCAAAGTTACAGAAGCAAAACAATCTGTGTAAGGAGATTCCTCTCACCACAGCAGTCCACTAGTGCAGTGTTCTCCAGGGGCCAGGCATGTATGTCTCTTTTCCCAGTTGCTCCTCACAGGAAGAGCTGGTATTTTGTACCCATTTTAAAGATGAGAAAATGAAGACACAGCAAGTTCAAGATTAGAAGTTGTACATTATTTCATGCTGTCAACATCTCTTCTAGCAGATTAGCTGAAGTAAAGGACCTCTAAAATACACCATAGAAAGGAACTGAAAAGTCAGGGGAGGCCCAATACACAAGGATGGTGATCAAAGGTGAAACGTTAGAGTTGGTCCTTGGGATGCATTTCTCAGTTTAGGTACTTGGTAAATTTGGTTAATGGATAGATGCAAAGCTAGGCGACAGTTTTAATTATTCCATCCTCTCTCTCTGGACAGTCAGTATGCATTACAAAATACAAATTTTATTTGGTTGTTTAGTTTTGAGACAGGGTCTCACCTCTCTAGCCCAGGCTGGCCTTGAACCTGTGGAAAACTTCCTGCTTCATCTGGAGTGCTGGGATTGCAGATGTGAGCCACAATGCCAGCTTCAAAATAACATTTTAGGACAAAAATCAAACAAGGATTGGAAAGTAGGCTCAGAGATTAAAAGCACCTCTCTTCCAAAAAACCCAGGTACATTTCCAGCATCCACATGGCGGCTAACAACTCCACTTCCAGGGAATACAACGCCCTCTTCTGTCCTCTGCAGCCACTGCATTCGCATGTGCGCTTTCGTATATGCAGGCAAAACACTCGTACACATAAAAACAATAAATAAATGCCAGGTGTGGTGGCACATGTCTTTAATCCCAGAACTCAGGAGGCAGAGGCAGGCGGATCTCTGTAAGTTCAAGGCCAGCCTGGTCTACATAGTGAGTTCTAGGACAGCTGGGGCTACAGGGAGACCCTGTCTCAAAAAGACCAAAATAAAATAATAATAATAATAATAATAATAATAATAATAAATAAAAATTTGCTCCTTAATAGTTAGTAGATGTGAAAAACATTACCACTGAAATCTGCCCGGTGACTTTATATCCATGCTCGGATGTGAAGGAGCTCAGAAAGTAACCGACTATGACTAGTAATAATCAGATATATAGAGATTAGAAACGCATGGGCATCTTTAGTGTCAATTGTATTAAAAATGAATTTTTCTATATGAAACTGTATTTTAATAATGAAATGAAGATCTTTTTTAGAGTTTAAAACCTCATTTAATTTTATGTCTTACAGGGTTTATATGGAGTACAATATTGTGTAACTGTACTAATTCAACTGTAAACCTAAAAATTTACAGCCAATTTTGAAGGAGACGCATCTTAGCTCTGGAGTGTGTTATTGAATATGTTAAAGCTGTAATAAAATGCTTCTTCTAATTATGTGGTTATTAAATAAATCATTTTAAAAGACTATGCATTATAATCCAATTGTCCAAAACCAATGATAAA